TAGATAAAAGTGTAAAACTGCCCTTTTCAAATGAAGTACACCAAATTCTAAGGCTCCATGCACACTAACATTTTTTAAGCTCCTAGTAGCTGTTAGCAGCATTTTTTTCTGCTCTTAGAAGCTAATTAGTGTAATCCTACATGTCCATGCACACAATTTAGGCTAGTAGTGTTTTTCAAGCTTCAGCGTTTAGGCGCAGAAAAAAATTGTTTTTGTAGAGTTTTGGGAGCTTTTTTTTTCCAGCAGAGCGTTTTTCATACATGTACTGTAAAAATGCTAATAAAACGCTAGCGCTCCTAAAAATGCTATTACCAGCGTCTTTTATCCAGCTTTTCTAAAACAAAACAAGAAAAAAAAAACGCTAGTGTGCATGGAGCCTAAATGTGTCTGTTATCATTGGCTTAGAAAACTACTAGCACCAGAGATGAATTATTAGAAAACAGACAAGACAGATTAAAAAAAAAAATATGCATGTTTTCAGAATAATCAACAGTTTCGTCATACACTCGGAGTAGAAGAAAATGTTCAAACAGCAATTCCTGGCAGCAAAATGAAAGCAATCAGTTAGTTACTAATGTAATTCAGAAAACACCACAGCTGTGCTAAAATCAGAGATGACTAAATTTACTTTTAAGTTGAAATACGGACCAAACTTTTTAGTAGCAATTGGGGAGGTTAGAGATTCTGACAAATGTCTCCTTGTACAAGAGATTTTCTTCTCTTCCTGTTCCTTCCAACAGCCTAGACAGGAAGTAAGTGAAAATCTTTTTAATGGGGGCACTGGCCTCAACCTTCCTCACTCTACTAGAAAATATGTTTTCATACTGCTGTCTCTATTTTCTTGGGGAGATGTCTCCTCTCTAGTGCTATCATTTTTTAGCAGCAAGGTGTGTGTGGTAGGTGTGTTAGGTTATTTTCCTCTATGATAAGGTTCTCAGATTTCTGACAACTGGCACTGGGATGGCCTGCTGTACTACTGCAATGTCTAGGGGAAAAAAAAAAGGACCCAGCATATAGGCATTTTCCTGTATACATTTCAAGGTTTAATTTTCCAATTTTGTTTGGAATGCTTCTTTTATGGGTGTCTATACCTGCGCTTAATTGTCAAACTATTTAAAAGTATAGGTTACAATTACTGCAATGATACTACAAGACTACAACCCATAATTATTTTAACAGGCTCATGTTTTTCCTCTTTCTAGTCTTTCAGCAAGTGGTTCTTTCACAAATTGAAGGCAGTCATTCTGTGGACTAAATTATTATTTAAACAAATACATTCATTCAGTTTGTCAAGATGCATGAATTCAAGACAGGTCTCAGAAATCATTACAGTGTGTGTAACCCTAACAATGGACTTCTCTTAAAGTGGTTCTAAAGTCATAATGTTTTTTACCTTATTGCATTCCTGCACTAAGATAAAAAATGTCCCAGTAGCAGTATCACCCTCTCTCCACCCCCACTCCCAAATAATTACCTTACCTCAGTCCTCACTCACGTCAGTGCTATGACTGTCTGCATCACCTCTTTCCTCTCTCTCTGCATTCATAGGACTCAGAGGAAGCAGAAAGGAGCCATTGGCTTCCCCAGCTGTCAATAAAATCATGTGAGCAAAGCGGTGGACAGGGCTAAGCTGTGTGTGTCTATAGATGCACAGCACCCAGCTTGGGGGTGAGCCCCCAAAGCAAGTGGTTTGCTATGGGGGCAGACACAGAAGACGGGAAGCAAAGAGTACTGGTGGATGATTCCAGAAACGGAGATTGTAAGCATAACATGTTTTTTATTTTGGGGGAAAAAATGTTATCATTTAAAACCACTTTAATTGCTCCCTTTCGGTCAGTTAAATATACTATTGAAAGCATTTCATTATATCTGTTTTACAAGTGCAAAAATACCTGTTGACCTTGTCAGAAATTTGGAGCTGTCCTGTGCTATATGCCTGCTATCTCAAAGGAACTATTCAGTGTTTCAGGTTATCCTGAAGTGATTTGGTAGTTTAGTAACACAATGGGAAGGGCTGACACTACTCTAGCCGCAAAAAGGCTTTGTGTTGTCAGCCAACAACAGGAAATTGAGAGCAGAGTGTCTTTCTGGCAGATCAACAGGTATTTTTCTGTATTCACACGGCCTTTAAGTGGATATAATAAAATGTGCATGTATTGCAGAGATGTACTGCATGTGTTTTGTCCTGTCATGTTACTACAGCTCAATGATGCTACTACAGCTCAGAAATGAAAAGCACCAAGAAAGCCTCCCCAAAAAAGTAGAACAGATACATTTTAAAGCCTTTGTCTAGCTAAAACTGAGAATTTCAGGAGGATGCCAGCAGGTTAGGTTGCTGGACAGTCTTCTTTTCATTGCTGGAGAGTTAGTTTTACGTTACCGACAAAGCAGCAGGATACGTGACATACAGCTGATTGCTTTCATAATAGCATAGTGTGTTTAAAGGGGCAGAAATGTGATCTCCACAAGGGAGATCTAACTGCAAATGCCCTCAAGAGTTTTAGAAGCAAGTGTATGCTGCCAATCACTGCCATCCACCCAACATTAAATGCCACTTGAGAAGAATTTCTTGTAAGCCATTACTGCTTATGTCTTTTACAGAACTAGCAAGAAAAATAAGACAACCTTAGAAATATGTTACACAGTACAGGATGAATGACATAAACATAACTTTTCTTCCAGTAAAGAACGCAGACTGCACAAACTATACATTCCAGCAGAACAAAATGATAGTGGAATCTTGTCAGAAAACTTCTAGCATTTCAAACATAACATTTTTATATCTTCCCACACAAGTGAGACTGTACCTAGAATGGAGACGGGTGAATCATTTTAAGACTAAAGCAATCTTTGGAATGAAATCTTTGAATTCAAAGTATGATCATTTCAGTTGCACATGATCTGAGATGGTTTACTCAATTTAAGGTTACTTAAGTGATGGAGCTTTTTTAAACTTTACAGAGAAAGCTACTGTCTACATACAGTATATACCCAATAACACAAATGGGCTTGTTCAAAAAAAAGTAAGAGTAATGTGCAAAGTGCATCAACGGACAGCAACCAACCAGAAATGTAGCTTCAGTGATCTGACTTTAGAAGAAGGCCTTGCTATATGAGAATTTCAAAAATATTATACAATTTCATACCAATGTTGCTAGCGCCACTTGCTGGCCCAAACATTGGTCTAGATTTCCTATTTGTGTTCCCATTATGTTCTAGAACTGCCATATTTACATATCTACGTACTACAGAGACATGCTACACCCGGGAAGTGCGATTGGTTTGGAATTCTTAAAGGCTACGTTCACCTTTTGGGGAAAAAATAATATTCGCACATAATTTTGCTGGGAAAGATGTGAATTTATTATTTTTCCCCAAGGAGCTTAGAAAGCATTGCACAGCTGATCAGGGGTGCAATGTCAGACTAATGCAGACAAGCCCTATAGCTGTTAGCCTGTACCTTTATACAGGCTGACTGTTTACAAGCTAGAGGGCTTGTGAATGAACTACAAAGCCACTCATCAGCGGCCACACAGTTCATTCAGAACGACAAGCTGTCAGCTGCAAAGGCTGACAGCAATTGTAGTTCATGTACACAACCACCCTGCTTTTGAATTGTGGCAGCAGAAGCGTAGAGAAGATCCCAGCCCACTGTCACAATGAAGGGACAATTGGGAGAACTGACTGCTGGAGCTGGAACATGTTACATGTTCTACACTAAATACAAGTGGAACATGTAACATGTTCCAGAAGGTGGATTTATCCTTTAATGCCATAGCAGCACAAGAATTTAATGACAACATGCTTGATGGCATACAGACTAGCTGTAGTTATATGTTTTATTGCCCTGGAACAAGCATGCAAGTGAAGTCAGAACTCCTAATCTGCTTGTTTCAGGAGTGTGACACAAAGTATTGATGTCAACATGAGAGCCAAGTAACTATCATTTTCAGGTGAAGAGATCAGCAATATCAGCTTGTATATTTTTCTCAGTAAGGATTAACTCACACCTACGTCTTTCTGTATTTGAAAAATGGAGGTCTCAACAAGGTCAAACAGAAAAAAATTGTTTTCTATATGCCCTGTTTACACTAAAATGGAGCAGAGAGGTATGCAAAATACAGCATGTACGCATTTTCCATATCACACCAATGTTCATCCGCGTGTTTCTATGCACAGCAGCAAATATTTGAAATTTCACTTTGTGACATTTCATAAAAACTAAAAAAAAAAAAAAAAAAAAAAAAAAAAATTGTACAAAAGAAAGACTGTACAGAAATAAAGAACTGCCCCCCCCCCCGGTCCCTACAGAAAGAGAACTAGCCTGTACAGGAAAAAAGGCTTGATTTCTGTGTGGTTTAATGGGAACAAGCCCTAAGGGTTTCCTATACTTGTTCAAAGTGATATCTTCATAAACAAGGTCTGCTTTCAGTAAATACCTTTGGTTGCTGTAATATATTGCACTTGGACATCACAATTGTTCTTATTATGCTCAAAAAGGTCCGTAAGAACAACATTTGCTGACAAGCCAGTTTATTGTGCCAAGCTAGTTTGCTGTGATGAGACTGATGACCCAGAACTCTCATGAAATCTGCTTGGTACAATGGGAAATGCAGACAGGTCCAGCTTGATAGCCAAAAGTTGTTGGTACATTTACACCTAAAACAATGGAAGCCCAATGCAGTTAATTTATTTCCAAAACATATATCTGAATTTTCAACATGTATACCAATTAAATAGACACAATAGCAAACATAAAATGGTCATTAAGGCTCATGTTCTCCCTTAAAACCTAAAAAAAAATGATCAAAGCAGCATATGAAATAGTAATATACTGTTTCAAATTTTGCAAAGTCCTGCACAAACAGGATTAAAAATTTCATATTGTTCTTGACAGATCCAATCTAAGCTGGATATGTAAAAACAAGACATCACACAGATTACACATGAAGTCTTAATGAATGCATCGGACATTCTCAGAAAAACTTGTCATCAATCCTAAAATGAGGCCTGGTAACATCGTCAGGGTTGATGAAGACAGAGATAGACTTTCCTGGGTTTTCAGTTACTAGCTGTTGCAATTTTTTGGCTAACCGATCATCTGGCTGGTTATTGTCTCCTCCATCAGACTGTGGTGATGGTATGCTAGTGGTGCTTCCTCTCCTCTGGAGATCCAGGGTGAGTCGGTTGGCAGCCTTCACATGTTCAATGGCCGTCCGAAGGTGTTCTGCAGGGTCTGATCTCACAGAAGACAGCTTTCTAGCATGTAACATCACTGTATCCTCTGAAAGGTGCTCTAGCATATTGCATTGAGGAATAAAGTAGTTGGGGCACATTTTGTTTACTAAGCAATGCTGTAGATCATCAATAAGTCCCAACAGGAAATGGGCTGCATAATCTTCCTGAGCTAAGTAATTAGCTGGGAGTCTATCACAAGCCCACAGCATCATACTACGCAGATGGTATGGACTGATAGCTTTTGGTCTTGATAAAAGCTTTATGATTATGGCTTTACAAGCTTGATAGGCTTGCATTAAGCTACTGGAAATGCACTTCTTCAGCTGCACCTCGCTTCTGGCGAATGATAATCTCCATTCATTATCTTTCTTACCCTTATAGGAGCAAGCTGGCACTAGATAAAACCCGCTAATTACTTCTTCCTCTGTAATCTTGCCATCCCAAAAGTGGTTTTCCATTAGCCAGCTCTGTGCTACAGCTGGCCACCCTTTGAACGAGACCACAGGAACAATATCATACAGCATGCGACTGCTGCCAACACCTAAAATGATGGATATAATAGTGCCATTCTTTTCTACCTTCTCAACCTTGGGCATTCCTCTCTGAGGTTTCTTCTGAATTTCAGACAGAACAATGCTGATTGACTCGTGGAACCAATCAGCAACTTTTGTAGGGGAGAAGAAATAGTTAGTGGCACCATTGATATGGTCAACAATAGTACAACAGTCTTTCCACTTTGTGATTGTCCCTTCATCAAACAATCGAAGGCTAAGCCATGAGTGACACAGGGCAGAGTGACGCATATCAAGTGTGACTGGCTGGTTTCGGTCATGAAGCTTTAAAGCTGGCACAAGAAGGGTAAAATCCATGTCATAATCGGTTCCACGAGCGTAAACATTCAATTCATCAAGATCCAAGTCTACAACTCCTTCCCGAACACCACCAGAAAGCAGCAAGTACTCATTTGCTACAGGCAACTTCTGGTCAAGTTTCTGGACCATGCCTGTAAAGAAACGAAAAAAATAGGAGTTAATATATACCTTATTATAAAGCATGATGCCAAATGCAAAACACAGATTGATAAAATAACATTTAGGTACACTCATTATTTTAGACACTGGGATGGAGAACAGTCTGTGATACTTTTTTTTTCTAATCGCTAAAAAGTTACATTTCCAGAGCAAGCATCTTTCTGAAAATGTAACTGTTAGTGCTAAGCATCATGGACAGTGCTCAACTAGTTGTTGCAACAGGCACTAAAACCCTTACAATTACCTTAGATTTTAGGGTTGATTTGCCAAGGGTGTAGAGCATGATCACTCTGCAAAGTCAAATTTTACAAAAATTTCTCTACTCCTTTAGTAAAGCAACACCAACCTGTATTATACATTTTAGGGCTCACTGCACAAGGAAAAAGTGGAGTTAGCACATCAACAAATGAAAACTTCTTTTTCAAGGTTTACCAACAAACAAAAACTAAAAACTACACGTTGGCAGTTAACATTATAAACCAGAGAGCAGCAGGACTTAGAGCTACAGCAAAAACACAAAACAGTAAAACACACCATTACACATGTATCCCTTGCCTATCATATGTGGAACAAAAGGTGGATGTGCATTTTGAATTTATATGCAATGGAAGGCCACATACAGAAATGCATGAACCCCCAATAATGGGTTGAGCAACAAATGTGTAAAAGGTGTCACTGTGTAGTAATGTTTGGCTAGCGGAAGTCCGAACTCTAGACAATGTTTTTGATAACTAACTCATGAAGTCTTATGTATAAGATGCAAAGAGCATAGCAGAGTAACTCATAGTAATTCATAGCACTCAATACAATTTTAATAAAGCCATATAGGTAAAAATTGCTTACAAGAATTGCTACTCTTTGTACTCATTTACTGAATAACTCGGACCTAAACAAAAGTCTGGATCATTCAAAACTGGGCAATAAGAACAGCAGAGATGGCAAAACACGGGCATTGTGAATCTACGGGGCTGTTTACAGCATATATTTGCAGTAACACACATATTAACCAACATGTGACAACACAAGTGTAATGCAGTGCCTTTCATTCTTAATGGCACCCCCAACAAACCTTCCGAACTATGTGGGTTGCAGTGCAGTTACAATGCACTAACACATGATGCAGTGGTGGTGGTATGATCCAACAAACATTTTTCTGCAGTTTCAAAAACGTTATTTTTCATTTTGAAACAAAAATAAATTACAGTTTCTTGTTTTTTTTTTTTTCTAGATACAAAGGTAAAATGATGTAAATAATCCTAATATATCTGATGATGTGCTTGGGCACGAAAGGCCTTAGGAGGAACCGACAGAGCATGACGTCATCTTTTGCCCGGAGCCACGAGACAGCCCCGCGGCCATTTTAACTCAGGGTCAGTATCATTGCTGCGTACTCTGCTTTCATATATGTACTGTACACAGCCTTACTACCCTGCTTGTCATTTTATTCATGAAATCTCTTTTTTAAAATACTACACTATGGGCACTTGTTTTTTGGTTCCCATTGGGAGCTAAATCCATTTGCAGGATTCCTGTAGTGCTCATCTATTACCACCAGAGGGACGGAGCTCTTGGAATCTGGCTGATAATTATACCAACCTTAAGGGGACCTCCGGATCTCTGATACATCTTCCCAGGCTGATTGATCCAAAGATTGGAATTCACCCTCTCCATCTACTTTAGGATTCCTGGAGACATTTATTTACGCGCATTTTCCGTGCGCGTCCGGTGAGTGCGCACTCTTTCCATTGCTTCCTGGTCTTCATCAGTTATTTCTTGGGACTATATATTTATATCCAGTTAACAACTACGGACTATTTGCCTTTTGCACTTATCTTTTAGCGCTGCACTCTGTTATTACTATTCCGCTTTTTATGGGTATACTGTGATTACCTTTAGTGCTAGCTGCTTGGTTAAGAGCGCTCACTTTATAACATTCTAATCCTAATATACATTCAAGATATGTATAGCTGGTAATTATACAAGGTACGTGAGGGCAGCCTTATTTTCTCAATATATATGCAGGGCATGTTCCCTACTTAGTAATGCTGCATAATAGTTGTACTTTATCGTTCCTTCGAAAAGTGAAAATCAATGATTCAGCTGACTCACTGTAAGGAATGAGTTTGGTGTTCTTAGAAATAGAGAATGTGCACATTACAAAGCAAATTTTCACTTAACTTCATAAATAAGGTGAAGCCAAGTAAAAATGGACTTTGCGAAAAATACCCAATTGTGTGCTAAGGGGGAAAAAAAAAAAAAAAAAAAAAAAGCTCTTACCTGATTGAAGTCAGAACAGCTTCATCACATTTACTAAGCTAATTGAAACATTACTTTGCAAAGTGAGCAGTCTTTACTCCTTTAGTAAATCAACCATAATTTACTCCCTATGTGGACAATATCTTACTTCAACAGCCAGAGTAAACTGGTTTATAAAATTCTGTTCAAGTATGTATGAGCTCCAGTCCCAGGTGAAAAAAATAAAAACTGTAGCTGCTGACATTTATAAAAAAATAGCCATCTACCTGTCCCTTGATCCAGCAGTGTGCTCACTAGGGGCAGGTTCACCGGCCGTCCTCTGTCCCCGGCATCTTAAATGTGGGCACCTGACTTTGACAGGTTGCAGCTTTACAGCCGGGTGCCTACTGCACATGCATGAGCAGCGCTGTGCATTGTGAATGGTCCTGCAGTCTTCTGGGATCAGTCACGTGCCCCAGAAGACTGCAGGGTGGGGCGTAGTAGAACTCCGGCTTCTGATCTCCTAGTGGTCAAAGTGGAAGTGGGAGCAGGTACCTGTCAAAATTGGGTACCAGCTCCAAGTACATGGTACAGCAGGCACATATCAGGTATAGAAAATGTTGGGTTTACATACTCTTTAGCCGAAAAAAGTAGCTTGGATTGCTCTCAGCTTTCTCCACATTCCCTTTTTTAACTGCTATGATCAGACTTCCTCTCTTGCTCACTTCTGAGATGGACTATGGACTGTGAGATTTGTAGTTTGCATAGAGCAGTGCACCTGACTGCAACAAATGTGTACTGCCCATTCCAAATAAACGGAAGTGAGTGGGAACAGGAGAGGTCTGGGAGCTTATGAAGAATAAGGATACTGTTAATAAAGTGAAACCTTGCAGCTAAAATGCAGGGTCTTGTTTTGAAGGGACTGTGTTTGCTAAAAAGCAGCATTGTAGCCTAGTGGTTACCACTTTTGTCTAGCAGCACTACAGTCCTCCGTTGAGTCCCAACCAGGACACTACCTGAACAGAGTTTGCATATTCTCCCTGTGCATGATTGGGTTTCCTCCAGGTACTCTGGTTTACTTCTACACTGCAAAAACATGCTGGTAGGTGGACTGTCCACCATTTAAATTGGCCCTAGTATGTATGCATGTGAGGCAGGGACCTCAAACTGTAAGCTCCTTAACGCAAGAACTGATGTGAATGTACAATATGTAAAGCGCTGTGTAAATTGTTGACATTACATATACACCTGAAACACCTGTAGGGGTAAGAAAGCATACTGTTGCAAGAAAAAGTATGTGAACCCCTTGGGATTACGTGGGATTGCATGAATTGCGCATAAAATGTGCTCTGAACGTCATCTAAGTCACAAAAATAGAAGAAGAACACAGTCTGCTGAACATAATACTACACAAACATTAGATGTTGCCATGGTTTAATTGCACATAACATGTAAACATTCACAGTGCAGAGAGGTAAAAGTATGTGAGGCCCTAGCTTAATGACTTCTCCCAGAGCTAATTGGAGCCAGGAATGAGCCAACCTTGACTCCAATCAGTGTGATGATATTGGATGTGTTGCTGACAGCTGTCCTGCCCTTAAAAAACACACACCTGTTTTGGGTTTACTGGTTTCAAAAAGCACTGTCTGATGTGAACCATGCCTCGCAGAAAAGAGCTCTCAGAAGACCCACGATCAAGAATTGTTGACTTGCATGAAGCTGGAAAGGGTTACAAAAGTATCTCCAAAAGCTTTGATGTTCATGTGTCCACGGTAAGACAGACTGTCTACAAATGGAGAAAGTTTAGCACTAATGCTACTCTCCCTAGGCGAGGTCGTCCTGTAAAAATGACTGCAAGAGCACAGCACAGAATGCTGCATGAGGTAAAGAAGAATCCCAGAGTGTCAGCTAAAGACCTACAGAAATCTCTGGCACATGCTAACAT